TCAAAAACCTATTGAATCCACAATGAAAAGGCCTTAAATAGAAGATGCTTAGTGAAGTTCTTGGCCTAATTTTTAAAAATTTAATACTATTATTTTTTTATGGTTCTGGGAGTTGGACCCAAGGCCTCACTCATGCTAGGCCGGTGCTCCACCATTGAACTTGCAGTAGTTATTACATTTTATTATTGTCAGAACTTCTCCCTCTAAGTCAAGGATTTTTTTTATTACTAAAGGGATATTTTATATAAATAGAGAAAAAGCACCACGATGCTGAGGGCAGGTCAGGCTAAAGATGAGAGTGGAAAACTGAGGGTTGACAGGGCAGTACAGTTTTAAAAGGACATATTTGATATTATGATAGCTTTAATTTTAATCCAAGTCAATATCTTTTAAGATTCTTAAAGAGGTACCTCATATTTTATGGAGATATGATTTACACAACATAAAATTCAAAAATACACATTTGGACATGATAGCACATGCTGGAGTCCTCAACTACTTGGAATACTGAGGCAGGAGGAGTTAGAGGCCATACTGGGCAACACAGTAAGATCATATCTAAAAAAAAGTCAGTAGCATAATTTTGTTTATTAATTAATTTTTTTTTAGTTGGAGATGGAAACAATACCTTATTTTATTTATTTTTATGTGATGCTGAGGATCAAACCCAGTGCTTCACACATGTTAGGCAAGTGCTCTACCATGTTGTAACCCCAGCTCTATAATTTATTTTTGTGGTACTGGACATGGTGCTATACCAGTGAACTACATCCCCAACCCTTTTTTTTAAACTTTTATTTATTACTTTTTTTTAAAAAAAAATTGAGACAGTGTCTTGCTAAGTTTCCCAGGCCAGCCTTGAATTTCAGATACTTTGAGATACTCTTGCATCAGCCTCTTGAGTCCTCAACCATTTTTTCTTTATGAAATATCCCTCTTTGTCTCTAGTAATGTTTTTGTCACAGAGTGTTAGTTTTTTGCTTGCTTTCTGTACTGGGGAATCATATTGAGGGTCTCCAGCCTGTGCTATACTACTGAGGTATACTCCTAGCTCTAACCTAGGGTACTGGGTTTTAAAAGACTAAGGAAACACTCCTTTCCCCATCCCTCTTATTTGCTGCTGCTTATTATGTAGCTTGGGAAACCACATATCAAAATTGTCATGCCAGAGCACCATTACTTGCCACTCTTTTTAGTATTAGGTTTTGATTTTGAACCCAGGGGCACTTTACCACTGAGCTACATCCCTAGCCCCTTTTATTTATTTATTTATTTTTTATTTTGGGACAGTGTCTCACTAAGTTGCTTAGGGTTTTGCTAAGTTGCTGAGGCTGGAATCAAACTTTGTATCCTCCAAGTTGCTAGGATTATAGGCATTCATCCCTGTGCCCTCCTAGCATTAGGGTTCTGAGTAAGATTTCTTTCTTACTCTTTGTCTCTTGACTAGGCTGGACTCAAACTTCTTAGCTTCAGTGAGCCTTCCACTACAGCCTTCCTCTTGAGTAGCTGGGACTACAGGTATATGCCAGTGCACCTGGTTAAGACTTCATTTTTAGGACTGGTTTTGTAGCTCAACAGTAGAGCACTTGCCTAGCAATCACAAGGCCCTGAGTTTGATCCCCAGCACTGCCAAAGCAGGGGTGGTGGTGGGGAGATATTTCATTTTTTAAAAAGTGCTCTGCAGTAAATTAAGTTTGAAGACTTTTCCAAAAATTCTCTGACTTTACCTATTTTTGGCCATTAAAAATCTTTTTGTCTCACTTTTGGATTTCTGCTCTTGAGGTTTCTGGATAATTGACCTTTAGCTAAGTGAAGTGAATAACTATCATTATTCTTACTTAAAAATATCTTACCTAAAATGTTAACATTTAGGGAATTTGGGTGAAAGGTATACTGGATTCTTTGTATACTCTTGCAGGTTTTTTTCCTAGTCAAAAATTATTTCACAGTGGCACATACCTGTAATCCCAGTTACTCTGGAGGCTGAGGTAAGAGGTTCTAAGTTTGAGGCCAGCATAGGCAATTTATTGAGACTCTGACTTAATAAAAGCAAAAAAAAAAAAACACATGGACACATGGACACTCCCAGTGGTAGAGTGTCCATGTGTTCAATACCCATTACCACAAGAAAAAAATTAAAACAAATAAAATGTTAAAGAAAAAAATCACCCAAGTAAGGCTTTTCTAGGCAATTTTTTTCTTGCAGGCAGTAAGTGACATTGGAAGTATATTGATTTGACAACATAACATTTTGGAGTATTTATGAGTCTTTAGTTCAATTCTGGTATTAACATAGATATATCCTAGTAGTGCCGCCATCTGGTTGACAAAATTTCTGGGAGTTTTCATAAGACTTCATTTTCCCTTGCAGCCATATTCATCCAAGTAGTAAATCTTGCATTTAGTACTTCCTTAATGTATCTTGAATGTATCCCTCCTGCCACTATTTTCATTCAAGCCTCATAATTTTTTATTGCAGTAGCTTTTTAATTGGTCTCCTTATTTTACATCATATGGATAAAAATGTCCTTAGTGACTATCTGCCTCTCTGTCCTCAGCTGCCTGCTTCTAATATGCCAGTAACTGCTCATGGTACCAGTCATGTACTTATTCCATGCCGTTTCATGTTTTTGTTTTTGATCTTCCCTTTGCCAGGATCAGTTAATTTTCTTCCTTTGAGATTCAGCTCAGGGATCTTTTCTAGGAAACCTTGCTAGAGAGTCCAACTTCGTATTTTTCATATGGATATCCAGTTTTCTCAGCACTAATTGTTATTGCCTCTCCCCATTGAGTTTACTTGGCACCCTTGTTAAAAATCAGTTGACCACAAACACATGGGTTTATTTCTGAATTCTTTACATGTATCCTTATGCCACTATGCTTTATTAATATTATAACTTTGTAGTAGGGATGGGGGACAGTTCAGGGATTGAACCCAGGGGCGCTTAACCACTGAGCCACATCTCTAGATTTTTTAATTTTTTAAATTTTGTGACAGGGTCCCACTGAGTTTCTTATGGACTTGCTAAATTGCCAAGGCTGGCTTTGACCTTGCTATCCTCCTGCTTCAGCCTCCTGAGTTGCTGGGATTACAGGTGTGTGCCACCCACCTGGCTTGTTTTTAAATCAGGAAGTATGAGTCCTCCAACTTTGTTCTTTTTCAAGATTTGTATTGGCTTTGGCTGTTATGAGTCCCTTGAAACTCTTTATGTATTTTATAATTAACTTGATATTTTCTGCAGAGAAACCAGCTGGAATTTTGACAGGAAATGAGTTGAATGTATAGAATAATTTAGGGTATTTCTCTTTGTTTTTTTGTTGTAGTTTAGGTTTTTCTCTTTAGTTTTTCAAAATTGATTGTTCTTTTGGTTTGGTATAATTCCTTTTTTAATTTTTTATTTAAATATTTTAAGATAAACTCCATCTAAGGTTAAGTTTGGTGTAATTCTTTTTTTAATATTTATTTTTTAGTTGTAGTTGGACACAATACCTTTATTCATTTATTTATATGTGGTGCTGAGGATCGAATCCAGGGCCTCGTACGTGCTAGGTGAGCGTTTTACTGCTGAGCCACAACCCCAGCCCCGAGTTTGGTGTAATTCTTAATAAATCTTTATGATAAATTGTGACTTTCAAGTTATATGACAGTAATAGTTGTAAAGGCACTACTCCGTGTTACATAATTGTAGTAAGAATGGGGACTATTTGTGTGTGTGTGTGTGTTGTACTATTTATTTATTTATTTTTATGGAGCTGGGGATTGAACGTAGGGCCTCATGCATGCTAGGCAAACACTTTACTACCAAGCTTCATCTCCAGCTCTTTTTTGGTGTTTTGACCATTCACTTGGAATATTTTTCTTCCCTTTTATGTTCTGTGTATTTTCACATATTAATTGGAGGAAGTTTTAGAAAATGTAAAAAGGCAGAAAAAATTCATAATTCCATAATTCAGTAAGTATTATTTATGTATTTGTTTTTCTGGTTTTCATGGTCCTGGAGATGGAAGTCAGGGCCTTGCAAATGATAGGCAAGTGCTCTACTGCTGGGCTACATTCGCAGCCCTTTTCCAAAAGATTTATTTTGAGGCTTTCCCAGGCTAGCCTCGAACTTGCAATCCTCCTGCCTTAGCTTCCTGAGTAGCTGGAATTACAAGAGATTATTTGTGTATTTGGAAACTTGCATAAATTTTTTTTTTCATTGACCCATATAATATGTAGGAAACATCTTTTTTATCTCACTGAAAACTATAGTGTTGGGCTGGGGATGTATTTCAGTGTTAAGGAATTTGCAAAGTTTAATGCACGGCCCTTGGTTTAATCCCTGCACTGGAGAAAAAGAAATTTTGTTTTTGTGGTACTGGTGACTGAACCTGGGGTGTTCTACCTCTGAGCTATATCCTCAGTCCTTTTTGTTTTATTTTGAGTTAGGGTCTCACTGAGTTGTCCAGGTTGATTTGGAAATTGCTGTTGTCCTGCCTCAGCCTCCCAGGTAGCTGGGATTACAGGTGCGTACCACTGTACCCAGTTGGATAGGGAAGTTTGGTTTAATAGGTACAGAGTTTCACTTGGGAATAAGGAAAAAGTTTTGGGAATGGATAGAAATGATGATTGCACACCATTCTGAATGTTGTGAATTAATAAATTCTACTTACTTACACACTTAATCATGTTAAATGGTAAATTTGATGTTATGTATCTACATCTGTTATTTAACTCAGGGTTTGGACACTTGTTTTGAATTTACTGAATAGACATATAGGGCTAAGAACTAACCAATATTCATGTAATATGAAGATAGGTTGAACTACACAAAGTGGTCTGCTAGGCACTGTGGGCTACCCTGGTAAACAAGAGAAGAGTCCCTGGAGGCTATTGGTTGCTAAGGTTAGAAAAAAAGAATAAACTTGTTAAGAATAAAGGGATTAAAATCAGGTGATTGTTTTCTCCTTAATGATTTCCTTTGTGGGATGATTTAAAAATATCCTTTTTCCCCCTTCAGGTTGCTATGGAAATATATGACCACATAAAAGGAAGTCCATTCTGATAATTCTGATACCTGAGATGTAACTGGACTGAAGAGTTGAACAGGAAAGATTTTAGTGCCAACCTAGTTACAATGGCCACTGATTCAGGGGAGCCAGCCAGCACGGAAGATTCTGAGAAACCTGATGGAGTTTCCTTCGAAACCAGGGTTCCTCAAGTTGCTGCAACTTTGACAGTAGAAGCTAAACTAAAGGGAAAAAACAGTACCTTTTCTGCTACTGGGGAAACCATAGAAAGAAAGAGATTTTTCCGTAAGAGTGTTGAGATGACAGAAGAAGACAAAGTTGCCGAATCTTCCCCCAAAGATGAGAGAATAAAGGCTGCAACAAATATTCCTCGAGTAGATAAGCTTCCTACAAATGTGCTAAGAGGTGGACAAGAAGTCAAATATGAACAGTGTTCAAAGGCAACATTGGAATCCTCAAAAGATTGTTTGAAGGAGAAAAATGAAAAGGAAATAGAAGAAGAAGCAGAAATGAAGGCTGTTGCAACTTCTCCTAGTGGCAGGTTCCTGAAGTTTGACATAGAGTTGGGAAGAGGAGCATTTAAAACAGTATATAAAGGACTGGACACTGAAACATGGGTTGAGGTTGCTTGGTGTGAGCTGCAGGTAGGTATATACTCTTCTTGGTTTTAATAAATTCCAGTTTTATCTGGCCTGACCTTCTGAGTGATCCAAATTGAAATATATCATGGATTTTAAAAAATGAAGGGTTTGTCCTTCACTGATCAGAAATTATGCTTGTTTCCTAGATCTTTCTAGGAGCTCATGCCAGACTTTTTCTCCTATTATTTCCCCTCTGTTTTTAAAATTAATTAATTAATTGGTATTTGAATTGAACTCATGGACACTTAACCATTATGCTACATGCCCAGTTCTTTTTATTTTTTTTATTTTGAGATAGGGTCTTGCTAAGTTACTTAGGGCCCCACTAAGTTGCTGATGCTGGACTTGAACTTGATCCTCCTGCTGCAGCTTCCCAAGTTACTTGGATTATAGACATGTACCACCACACCCAGCCCCCCCCCTTTTTTTTAGTACCAGGGATTGAACTCAGGGGTGCTTAACTACTGAGCCACATCCCCAGCCTTCCCATCTGTTTTTAATTTAATTTAATTTTTTTTTGTGATGCTGGGGCACTGGGATATACTATCATCCCCTCCTGTCGTTTAAAAAAGAAAATGTATGTGATGGCTTTTTTGGGTAAAGTTATCTTTATTTTTTATCCTTAGGAAATTGCTGAAATCTCCTTTTGAAAACTTTTAGTAAATATTTGCCTTATTGGTTGATCATTGTACTAAATACTTGAGTATGATTGAAATATGTGCATTGTGATATCTAGCCTTTCTCTCTTTCTTAACAAAATGGAACAGTTCATGTGCTTTTCATAGCAGAAAAGTTTTTTCCTGATTTTTTTTTTCTTGTGGTATTAGGGATTGAATCCAGGGCCACTGTACCACTGAGCTATATATCCCCAAGCCATTCTATTTTTCATTTTAAGACAGGGTCTCATTGCCCAGGCTGGCCTGGAACTTGGGATCCTTTTGTTTCAGCCTCCCAAATTGCTGGGGATTATGGATATGTGCCTCAGTGCCTGGCTTTCTTGATCCTTTGAGGACATCTGTTGATATACATTCCCCATGCCTTTGAGTTTACTGCAGTGAGATAATCACCAGATTCTGTTTATGTTAATCAGCTGAAATGTGTTTTAAGGGGAGAAATGAAAACAATGGAAGAATTATTAAATTACCTAGATATTTGGCTCCATGATAAATGTTTATGTGGCACTATTAACTAGTGAAAGACTAAATGGGTGGAGGGGACAACATCATAAAGGAGGTTATAATGAGAGTAATTTCAGATAGGGCTGGCTGGCATTGTAACTCAGTGGTAAAACATTTGAACACGAGGCCCTTGATTTAATCCCAACACTGAAAAAAAGTTTCAGATAAATGTAGAACCTTTGTGACCTCAATTAGCTCATGAGAAATAATCAGTGTTTACTTGAGATGCTTAAAATTAAGATAAAATCAATCACTAAGTATAGGTAGGTTTTTGTTCAAATTCTAATGGTCTCTGTGGTTTTGTATGTATTAAAGCACCATGATTCTATCTGTTCTGAATTTGTTGTAGGTTGCCATCAGATAAGTTAGAACTTTGTCCAGATACTTGGATTTCTAGGAAACTCTTTTAAAAATTTTTCTTTGAGACAGGGTCTCTCTGTGTTGCCTAGGGGTGACCTTGATCTCCTGGCCTCATGTGATCCTCCTGTCTCAACCTCCCAAGTAGCTGGAACTAAACCATCTACTAAGCTGCTGCTTCCACCCCCCACCCCAGTGTTTGGGATCAAATGCAGGAACAGGATTTCTCATAAATTAGGCAAGTGCTCTACCACTAAGCTACATCCCACTCTGAGTATTGAGTATGTTTTAAGCATTTTTCATTATATATATATCTTTTCATAAGGTTCTGTAACCTTTATTTTTACTTACCTTGAACATCTTTTCATTATTATTATGTGTACCTTTAGATAACTATTATTATTATTTTTTTTTACGGTACTGGGGATTGAATCCAGAGTTCATGCATGCTGGGCAAGTACTCTGCCATCAAGCCTCATCCCTAGCACTGTCTCCCCTCTTTTGAGATAGGGTCTCATTAAATTGCTGAGGCTGGCTTTGAACTTGCAATTCTCCAGCCTTACCCTCCCAAGTTACTGAAATTGTAAGTGTGTGCCACCATGAGAAACACACATAAGTATTTCTAATAGATGCTTAGGATTTCATTGTAAGTTTCATTTACATTATTTAATTAGTTCTCTGTTAGATATGTAGTGTTTTTCCAATATTTCACTAAGATAACCATGGCTATGATGAATACCCTTCAATATATTATTGAAAATTATGTACATTTATATTTCATCTCTATTATATCAGTAGCACTCACCTTTTAGTGGTACTCTTTCTGTACATGGGACGGATAATTTCCATTCACTTGGTAGTAGAGTACCTAAAGATCAAGTATTTTATAAATTATATATTCTAGCTGTGTTAATGGATGTTTAGGTAAAACTTGAAAAAATATTCCAGTGGTAGAAAATTGCCTAGGGGAATGTCTATTATCATTCACCTGTGGAAATGTTCAAATAGCCCATGAGATCTTACTACGCAAAGTTTTATCCTCAGCTTAGTGGTAGAGTACTTTGCTAGTGTGCGTGAGGTCCCTGGGTTCAAGCCCCAGCACTGCCAAAAAAAAAAAAAAAAGAGTAGTGGTGGTGGTGGGGGAAAGCATCCCTATGCCAATAGTATAGATGGACATCACCTGGGAGCTTGTTGGAACTGCTGAGTCCCAGGACCCATCTCAGACCTACTGAATCAGAATCTGTTGCTGCATAAAACCTGCAGGTGATTTGTATATGGAGCAAGTCAAGTTTGAAAAGCACTGAAATATAGAACCAATCCCAAGAACTTGCTGAACCATATAGAAATTCCCTTAATACACTAACATAAGAGTTATATTTTATCAAATATAATAATTCCTGGCTTCACTTTACACTTTTCAAATTGAAATCTCTAGATGATGGGTCCCAGGAATTTATTTAAAAATTTCCCAACTGATAGGATATACAACCAGTATGGGGAATCTCTGTGTGGAGCAAATCTATATAAAGTAAATAAAGTACATTTTTCCCTGTGTACTGGGGATTGAACCAGGGAAACTCTACCATGGAGCTATATCCTCAGCCCTTTTTGTTTTTAATTTTGAGGCAAAGTCTCAACTAAGTTGCTGAGGCTGGTCTGGAATTTGTGATCCTCCTGCGTCAGCCTACTGAGTTGCTAGGTTTACAAGGGTGCACCACCATCCCTGGATATAAACTACATTTTTTATTTATACAGAGAATGACAATTTCAATTTTCTATTCTGAAAGAAATGTCAGAATTAGTGAATTTATTTACTTAGATTTTGGATATGCTTCATTTTCTGCATATTTAGAATTAAGGAAAACTAGTTTATTTTGAATCCCAGGATTTGGTACTTTGGGGTGATTTACCACTGAGCTACATTCCTAGTCCTTTTTATTTTTTATTTATTTATTTTTTGGTACTAGGGATTGAACCCAGAGGCTCTTTATCAATGAGCCATACCCCCAGCCCTTTAAAACTTTTTTGTTGTTGTTGTAAATGGACAGAATACTTTTACATTATTTGTTTATTTTTATGTGGTGCTGCTGAGGATCAAATCCAGGGCCTTACATGTGCTAGGCAAGTGCTCTGCCACTGAGCTATAGCTCCAGCCCCCACTCCCCCAAGCCCTTTTTATTTTTCTTTTGAGACAGGGTCTTGCTGTGTTTGTAAGGGCCTCACTAAGTTGCTGAGGCTGGCCTTGAACTTATGATCCTCCTACCTCCACCTCTTGAGAAACTGTGGGTATGTGCCACTGCACCTGGCTGGGGCATCAGTTTTTAATTACTTTCTTGAGTACTATGCAGTTTATAATGTATAATTTCTCATTCGTCTATGAAATCTTATTCTATAAATAATTTTATGGAAAAACTGCAGTGAGCAATTTAAATCTTTAAATTCTAGATTTTTTCTCAAAATTTCTGTGTATATATATGTGTGTGTGTGTGTGTGTGTATGTGTGATTTTATACACACATACATTGATATGTCCTTTTATCAATTTGATATGTATTTTCTATTAACATTATTAAAATATGTAAACTATCTTATTGTATTCATACTGTCTCTTGCTTCTTCTTCCCTAGTATCATGCAGCTCTTTTCAAATTTTTTATTTATTTAATTTATTTTGTTCTATTTACTTTTAAATTTTATTTTTATTTTTGTGGTGCTGGGAATTGAACACAGGGTCTGATACTTCATACCTATTAGGCAAGTACTCTACCACTGAGCTATGTCACCAGGAGATTTTTTTTTTAAATTTATTTTGAGATGGAGTCTCCCTAAATTGCCCAGGCTGTCCTTGAATTGGAGATCCTTCTACTTCAGGAAAGTACCTGGGATTGTTGGTGCAAACCACCATATCTGCTTTTTAAATTTTAATTTTGTATATTGGGTTTGAAATTCATAGCTCAATAATAAACTTGATTTCATTGTTTTGCTTTTTGGTGTTTGGGATTGAACCCAGAGCCTCCCCCATGCTAATAAGTAGTTGCTACCTCGCTGGCTCAACAATAGTTTTTTTGGGGGTGGGGGGGGTACTGGGAATTGAACTCTGGGATACTGGACTACTAAGCCACATCCCCACCTATTTTGTATTTTATTTAGAGACAGTGTCTCAATGAGTTGCTTAGGGCCTTGGGATTGCTGAGGCTGGCTTTGAGCTCTTGATCTTCTTATCTCAGACTACAGAGCCACACCACTGCACCCAGTTCAGCAATAGGTTTAATACCATCCTATACAGGCATCCCCCTTCTCCCTTTGTGAATATTTGAACTTGTGTAACAATTCTTTTCAACTCACATCTATTTATTTTAGTATATATTGACCTATCATAGAGATTTTACTTCCAATATTTAACTTTGAGAATGTTAAAAACTCTTTGATTTCAGGATTTGGCTATAAACACCTGCATTTCAATACTTTGT